CTGAGCAGGGAGCCCGATGCGGGGCTCGATCCCAGGACCCTGGGATCATGACCTGAGCTGAAGGCAGACGCTTAACGACTGAGCCACCCAGCGCCCCTCCTCATTACTTTTCAATGCATCCTTGTCACATATTGTTTTTACATGTTTTCCTTTTTTTTTTTTTAAGATTTATTTATTTTTTTCGGGGTGGGGGGAGAGAGAGGGAGGGAGGGAGGATCTCAAGCAGACTCTGCCCTGAGCACGGAGCCCTATGCGGGGCTTGATCTTACGATCTAGAAACCAAGAGTTGGATGCTCAACTGACTAGCACCCAGGCACCCCGTTTTACATGTTTTCCTTCCTAATTCTGGATTTCTGTGTCACTGAACTGTCTGCAATGTACTGCAAAAACCAGTGTTCATGTGTTTTCATTTTCTTGCCAAATTCTTTCAGTTATTTTAACTTGAATATTCTTCCAGGCAAACTTTAGAAAAAGTTTATCAAAGAAAAAAAAACCTACTAGAATTTTGCTTATTCAATATACAAATTAGGGAAGACTGGCATCTGTCATTACTTGAGTGAAGATAAGCTGGTGATGCGTTTCTGGACTTGACGAATCTGAAAGTGCCTTCCTGTTGGGCCCAACAGCTGTGACAATGAGCTGGCTGTGAAATCCTTCAGTCCCAAGCTTCCCTCCTGTGATTCAAGACAGTGTGTTCCTGCTTTTGTTATTTAGTGGGACAGTCTCAGGCCTGCCTGCTTTTTGTAGAGCATCCTACCTCTGTATCTTCGTGAATATAATTTCTTTTAGCTCTTTGCAAATCAAACAAAGTGGTGAACTTTGTCTACATGTAAGTTTTCCCCCAGCGACTCTGAGATAATGCTTTTAAATTTGTTAAATATTTGTTATGTATTCATTTAGAACACATCTGACTACTTTAGCTACTTCAGCCACCTTCATTTCTTCCTTGGATACAATGATTATTCTTAGGCTGACATTTTCAAGTTATTCACTACCTGACTGATGCAGATGTCTGCACCGAGTTGAACCATTTATGTCTTGATAGTGATCCTACTTGTTTTTTTGCCTTTTGTGCATTTTCTTATCTAGATAAACTGCATTTTTATTTGTGCCTTCATCTCAGCCTGTGATCTTCTTATGGCAAAGTACTTCTAGTTCATATACGCCAGGTATTCTGACATCTTTCCAAGGACACTAGGCTAATATCCTCTAAGATTTTCTCCTGTTTTCTGTTACAAAATAATTTTGAGAGATATTTTTCCATTGAATCTTTGGGGTAATTTCTCTTTTTGTGAACTGAAAACTTCACAGGCTAAAAAAAAAAGTTATTAGTCATTTTTCTCAAATTCATCCTTGTATTTAGAAAGATCTATCCAAGGCTGGCACCTGCCATCGTACGGGATGCCTAGAGTGTTCTTAGCTTCCTCCCTCTTGATCCACTTGGGTGACAAATCTGTCATCTCAGACATCTCAACACAATTAGTTATTAGGGAAATGCAAATTAAAATCACAGTGGGATGCCACTTCACATCCCCTAGGATGGATATAGTTAAAAAAAACAAAAAAAAAGTAGTAATAATAAGAAGTCAGAGACATTGGAACCTCATACATCACTGGTAGGAATGTAAAATTCTGTAGCTGCTTTGGAAAACAGTTTGGTAGTTCCTCAAAAAGTTAAACAGAGAGTTACCATATGACTAAGCAATTCCACTCTTAGGTATCTACCCAAGAGAACTGAAAACATGTTCATACAAAAACATGTACACAGATGCTCACAGAAGCATTATTCATAATAGCCAGAAAGTGGGTGCAACTAAATGTCTACCAACTGATGAATGGGTAACAAACTAGGATATATCCATACCATGGAATATTATCTGGTGTACAAAGAGATACACAGTGTCTTAAAAACATTATGCTAAATAAAACAGTCACAAAAGAACACATACTGTATAATTTCATTTATATGAAATGTAAAGGTTGCCAAATCTATAGAGGTTGACAAATCTATAGAGACAGAACAGCAGTGGTTCCATTAGTGGTTGCCAGGGACTGGGGAGTGGATGCTAAAGGGTATGGAGTTTCTTTCGGGGATGATGAGATATTCTGGAATCAGACAGTGGTGATGTTTGCACAACCCTGTGAATATACTAAAACCCACTAACTTGTAAACTTTGAAAGGGCAAATTTTATGGCATGTAAATTACAACTGAATAAAAAAAATTTTTTTTATTTAAGAAAGAAAAAGCAACTTAAGTCTCAAAAAGATCTGTTTTTAAATTTCAGTCTTATTTTGATGTTTGCAGTCTTTAAAGTAAAAACAATTTTCATCCAGCCTGTACAAGCGTGTTCATATACTATAAAAGATTATTTCCTTTATTTGTTTATTTAAAAAAACGTTACCTGGCAGCCATCCTGATTAATCCACTTGTGCTGTACTTCATCCCTGGCAGAATCACTGAGGCCGGCGTGATAAGCAAGCGCAGCGAGACCATCTTTCTGTAAAGTGTCAGCCATGGTGTCACATTCTCGTCTGGAGAGGCAGTAGATTATCCCGGAGTCACCTGCCAAGAAACCAAAACAGTAGTGAGACATGAGAGCTTTTGACATAAATAACAACACAATTTTTGTCATGTTCTTTTTTTTTTAAGTAGGCTCCACATCCAGCGCAGAGCCCAATGCGGGGCTCGAACCCACGGCCCCGAGATCAAGCTGCAAACCAAGATCTAAGAGTGGGACGCTGAACCAGCTGAGCCACCCAGGTGCCCCCTCATTATGTTCTTAGAAATAAACAAACCACAAGCAGACCTCCATAGTCTTCTTAGAGTAGAGCGGGGTCACACAGAGTAATTTAAGCAAGGAGTTCACGTGTACGGGAAATCACAAGATGTGACCTTTTGTTCTGTCCCCCGAATGGCTCCTGGGGTGGACCTGGACGAAGCCCGGGCTCTACTTCACATGGGCGGTAACATGGGAGGGGACCCTTACACAAACGCTGTGGAAAGTGTGTAGC